ACCTCCTTTATCAAGATGGGGTTTTTGTCGACGGATTGCGGCTTCTGGCCGTATGTGAGATGGTCTCAGGAAAAGAAGCAGCTGGAGCAGGAGGCCACTCGACCGGGCGTTCCGACAAACATATTGAAGGAACACGTGGCCTCGATCATCAAGTTGGTTCAGGGCTCTGGCAACGTTGCCAGATTCCATCCGATACGGCCCCTTACCGAGGCCCCACAAGGCGAATCGCTAGTATTCATTCTTCAAACCTCCATAGGATCAGAGGACGCGCAGCAGCTGAATATTCATCTTCGAGCACTTTGCCATTTGAGTGTTACTCAACTCTGCTCATTCACGCTGCAGCCAGACCGTCTGCAGAGATCAGGCTTGCATTCACGTGCAAGGCCCCTTGTTGTGGCTCGTCGAGTCCACAGTGGACAAGATGCTGGCTCAAGAGACCTTTTTCAATATGGAGGGCCTATCCGAAGCGATACGTGAGCCCGACTGGGTCTCCTACTTTGCAGCATTATGCTGCCTGCATGTTGCATCAGAGCGCTCCGAAGAGATGCCAGTCGCCAAAAGTTTTTCTGACCGCTGGGCAATGTATGGTTTTCTCCTGTTGGCGATGGTGCAAGTCAGTACTGGCGTTGACATGGATGTTTCAGGTCGTGACCATGGACCTCAAGGAACACATCAGGCCAGTGGAAGGGATGGTCAGCGCCGATCAATCAGGGAGTGTGATACCCCAACTTGCTCTGCAGAAAAGGTTCAACCTCAGGTCCAGAAGGTGGAAGACTAGCGCTATATGGCTGAAGAGGATGTTATTCCCCTAGAGCTATGGGAGCTGGAGTTACCATCAATACTGAGTGTTGCGGCGCCGGGAGCTTGATGACAACGAATGTATTGACCTAGAAAGGTTGATGCTGACCTCCACTGACTCTGGAATGTCTGCGCTCTCTGAGGTTTCTGCTTTAACGCTTGGGCCTGGACCAGTGTCGTACCCACAGATTTGCTACAACCTCCTGCTACCTCCCTCGCTTGATCTTGGATGCTTCCAGCCTAATACCCACCTGGAATCCCTTGCCAAAAGAGCGCTAATGAGCGGGATGGCTACTGGAAATCTACCGAACACCCTGCGGCCCATTCAAGGAGAGCCTGCTTTCGGGATAGACCAGTCTCGGAGGGAACTCCACTGTCTGGAGCTCATCACTCTCGCCACCCTCGAAGCGGGTCATGGGCAGGACAAGGTTTGTGGTACAGGCATGATTGTGACAATCTCGATGAAGAATGGACCTGACGTTCCTAGTAATAGTCACGCTTGAAAAGCGGAAGCCTGGTCGCATGCCCCAAACAACCGATGTCAGTAGCAGCACTGGAATTTCAAATCTTGTCGTCGTGTTGTGAATACCAGCGAAAGGCCCATGAATATACGCTCCAGCCGTGAAAGTTCTTGGTGATCGTGGCACTGTACGGTCCCTTGGAGTGGTACCAGGGTAGTGCTGGTGGGATACCATATTCGGAATCCCGAATTATTGTCCCGCATGAATGTGCTGCAGCTGACTCGCATGGGTTTCCACCTTCGCCTATAACTTGGAAAACGTATGCCAGCAGCGGATGGCAGGTGGTCACAAGACGGAAAGCTGATGACTACAGCATGCCTCAGCTCATTAGCCTTTGTATAGAGCCTGCCCTACGACCATCGCACTGCTCGGTGTAGAGTCGCTGCCGGACGCGGGGCGCTCTACGGGATGTCGGCCATTTTATGGTACGGTCGCCGTGAAGGTGCTTACGAGAGAAGAGGGCGCTCAACTCTCTGTCGCGACGGGGGCAGATGTTGTACATAGGTTATAGACATGCCAGCTTAATTTATGCAGATTTTGTGATTTTGTAGTTGCATAGTGTTAACGATTCAAACCGGGATGCTTGGTTCCTCGGAACAGTCCCCGAGGCGGAATGCTTGGCCATTCGTGGCGATTCCGCGAACTTTTGCATTTCATTAGTTAGATGAATGCTCGGGCCTTAAAGGCGTAGCTTAGTGCTGCCGCCACTTTTGCCGCCGCAATGGAGAAGACTCTTCTCTAGCGCTGAGGAAGGAAGGAGTACAGTAGGAGTAGGTGCAGCAGTAGGAGTAGGAGCAGCAGCAGCTGCAGTAGTAGTAGTAGTAGTAGGATCCCGGTCCACGTCCGGCCGTGGTACAAGTCCAATGTTTTTCCAATTTTTGCGCTCGGAATTCGCTTTTCGGTAGCAAGCACGTTTATCGGCCTAGCGCGCTTGAAAAGGCTCCCTTCCAAAAAGGGCCGACTTCTGGTTTGAGATTTTCATGTGCAAAGCCACAGTTTCGTCAACATTTTAGTTTATTTTTTCGTCAAATTTACGAAAACGGCCTTTCTGAGCTTTTCTTCGCTGTTGGCGCTTTTCCCTTTGGCATTTCCTGCCGTCTACATGACTCTACTTTCTCGCATCGTGAAAAATGCTCTGGACCCCAGTTTCGGCGCGTTGAAGATTCTGTCCCTTCGTGCTTGCGGGTGGAAGTGCCAAATGATTCGTTTGTGCGATTTCTTTCATCCGCTGATTTTCCGCCGCGACCTTCTTCGCTTTTGGTGCGTTCGAGCTTTTTTCACTGCCTGTCTTCCATGCCTGTGCCGTCGTTTTTGCGGGTGGGGATGTACCACGCATAGCGCTTTTGCATTTTGCCGCTGTTTTTCCACGGCGTGCTTTCCTCGAGTGCAGTCGGCAGGTTGGCGGGGTGAATTGTGTGCGGGCCACGCGCTGATTTTTTGATTTTCATTTTTTGAATTGCAAGCATTCGCTGAACGACGGTAAAGTTCGAAATCCGTGATCACGCGTAAGAAGTCATGTTCAGGCTGTGGTAGTTATTTTGTTCTTGTTTCTTCTGGGCGTTTGGACCCATGTGATCCACGAAGTGCTGCACCTGCTAGCATTTGGAGGAGGTGGCTGCTATGGTGTCTTAGTTCAGAAAAATAATTTGTAAACAAGAAGGCTGAAGTGGAACTTTTGAGCAAAGCGCCTCCAACACCTTCATCATGTTGACGTCCTTTGTACCCTGAAATCTCTGAGCTCAACATACGTTTGGGGGGGGCGCCTTAAATTTGAAAGTATATGAAGGTTGTTGCCTTACATCTTGCCCGCATGACCCTGCGCCCAGTACCCCGAACAGTCAACCGAGCAAGCTAGCTCTCTCAAAGCCCAAACTCCCCACAAGACCCTAAACCCTGAACTGAAAGTGTGAAGAATAATGCTGAACATATAAAACCCCAATGGCCCCTTCCATGCAAAAAGCAAGCCAACGCTATCAAACCCCAAAGTAGTTATTTGCCATGTCAGGTTTTTAAATCTGCATCCATGGCCGTTCGCGGATCGTGTACCTAGTAGTAGCTGTTGTCGTGGAAGAGGTAACTAGTAGAAGTAGCGAGAGTAGCAGCAATCCTCTTCGTGATACTGCTGCTGCTGTTGCTACCACTACTACTACTACTACTACTACTACTATGATGTTACTGCTGCTACTACTACTACTACTACGACTACCACTACTATCACCATCACTAATACTTCTACCGCTACTACAATCACAACAACTGCTACTATGACTGCTGCTACTACTACTACTACGACTACTACTACTACTGCTGCTGCTATTACTACTACTACTACTACTACTAGTACTCTACTACGACGACGACTAGCAATGAACACGACAACTGCACTGCTGCCACTGCCACTGCTACAGCAACTACTGGTACTGCTGCTCCTTCTGTTTCTCCACCAAGACGGTCATAAGCAATATTGATTGTGATAACGGCTACTAGTAGGATGAGGCTTTTCGTATTGGGTGATGATTATCTCTGTAGTTTTTTTGCGCATGGCAGCAATTGTATCACGGTGCAATCCAGGCTTATTTCCCTCTCGGATTCCTGGAGCAACTTGGCGATGACTCTTGGCCATTCGTTTTTCTTAGTTCGAGGGATGAACGGCAGCAATGGAGTTTGTGACCATTGCGATGAAGATAGTGGTGCACGTCGCTGCCTCAGTAGTAGCCGTAGTAATAGCACTAGTAGTAGTAGTAGCAGTAGTAGTAGAAGAAGCAGTAGTAGTGCTACGATGAAGTCCCCGGCGGATACCACCATAAGGTCTGCTGCTGCTGGTCCTGCTTCTGCTCCCACCGCTAATGCTGCAATGACGACTTGAAGTGCTAACCATGCTTGGAAGGAACTTCTGCGCAAGTCCGAAAAAGGTAAGCAGATGGCCGCAAGAAACATCTTTAAGGCTTTGGTAGCGAGCACTAGGAGACCCGGGTTGGTCTTGGACCTGGGTTCAGAATCATGAGTTGAAGCTGTAGTAGTGTTCAGGATATTCTCCTCGATGCGTTGAAAAAACTTTCTACATTCAGGCATAAAAGTCCAGCTCCGTTGCTTGTGCCAGTTTCTCGCAGCTAGGAGCTAAGTACGACGATGGTACAAATTCCCCAAGTAAAAGGCGACTAGTGATAGCAACGGGAATGATAAACTGCCATAGCACACTGACGCCGTCTTCAGGACCTTGGAGGAGAGCCTTTCCCTGGAGCAGATACCTGTGGCCTGTCCAACAACTTGTTAGGATTGAGCTTTGGAAGCAGGTGGAAGAAGTAAAGGCGTAAACGCAGTGAGCAGGGAGGGCCGAAGGGCCAGATCCAGGTTGAAGGCGTCGACCGCGTGGAGGCGATCAGCGAAGACTTTCGGGCTGCCATCGGGTTGCTGCTGTAGCTCGTCTCTATGGTGCCTTGTTGGTCTTCCGCCTAAAGGAGAACCCTCCAGCACTGCCCAAGGATAGACGTGCTGGAGGATGCGTTGGCTGCAGGAACGCAGCGTCCTGTAGGCGGGATCAGAAAGCAGATGGATGTCGTCTTGCAAACCTATGGTCAGTGCTGAGAAGCCAACCCGACCAAAGTGCATGTCTGATTTTCTTTGCTGCGCAGCTGATGGCCGTCAAGTTGCCCTGAATGCAAAGCTTTCTGTGCCTGGTAGGTCTGATAGCCACAACCAGTGAACAGCGTGCCAGCATCAATCGGTTGCTTGGAACACTTTTAATGGCTTCCGGTTTTGCAAATCGGCTATGTTGGCGATTCTTGCTTCAGGCCTCAACCTTTTGCTCCATAGGCAGGTTTAGCATTTCTGGCACAGTGACAGCACTCTAAATGGATCGGGCTGTAAGGCTCGAAGTCCGCAAGCTTCGTTTTCTATAGGCATCAAGACGCCCGAAGAAACAGTCAGCGTGTAGAAGTTCCAGTGCCTGAAATTCTTGGCCTGAAGCGATGGCATCACAGGCTGGCAGTTGCCTTCCCGCGCAGGGCAGGGTGTTGGTTAAAAGTTAAGCGGCAGCAGCTCCTGGTAGCGACCCACTGCAAGCATAATGAGATGTAATGGGGGCATGCCAAAGCTGGGGCCCTTGTGTAACCCAGGTTTTTCACATTCCAAAACAAGCAACGCAGGGGCCAGCTTGGGAATCCACAGTGGAGCCTCGTTGAAGCTGAGGCTGGCGGCCGAAGCCTATGAAATCTCCTACGGCTACCATGTGGAGGAGGTGTCCCAAATGGTCATCTTTTGGGTTGAAAGCCTTGTCAGGCTCTGTAACGTTGTCGTCAGGTGGGCTTCGCCTTGATCTGTTTCCTCAGCCCACCATTCTAGCTGCAGGTTTGGAAGAAGATCAACGAGACCATCGCAGGTTTCCACATCACGCATCTAGACTCCTGGCAGAGTAGTGGCATCATGGACACAAAAATTGATAGAGAACTGGCAGGTTTTCATGTGTTTGATCACCATGCCAAAGGAACTCATGCTCGGAGCTGCAGCCACGCAGACTCACCCGGAGTTGCGCAGAGTATCAAATATCTGTGTGATCTACGCGATCCTCGGCACGGTGTAGGGTCAGCGCCATGGGCTTTGCTTCGGCGCTCGTTCTGCATGCCTTGTGATTGTCTGCGTGTCGAAAGTCTTTGTTGCGCACAAGAAACATTAACGTTTGAGATCTCTCGGTTGGCAGATTTTTTGGCAGTGGAGCCAAGCTTTGGGGGGAGGCAGGACAGGATAGGCAACGCCGTGTTTTCAGGGAAGAAGTGATTCATTGCCACTATGATAGAGTCGTCCTCGTGCACGCCATGACAGCCAACATCGTTCATGTTCAAGGCCTTCGTGTTGTGGTGCCAGGCCGCTGTAGGAAGCTTCCTCATGCCAGGCCACAGCTACCACAGTCTTCACCAATGAATCCCCTGAGCCTGAACCTGAATCCCAAATCAGATAGTCTCGGTCAGGATGCGGGAGGTCGAGGATGCGTATGCGCGGCTCGAGGCAGCGGCTTTGGCAGTGGCAAGCGGTGATTTGAGCACCTGAGCTTTGCTAACATGCTAAGAGTTGGGGAGCACGGAATTCCACCGGTTGGGTTCAGCCTTCAGAGGCTTACCGCTTGAAGTTGAACCGCTGGCAGCCTTGCACGTCCATCCCTTGATCCCTTCAGCGGCAGCCACATGCAGCGCTCAGGTGAGCTTGATAGCATGGGACAGCTCACAAAGGCAGCGCGGGAAGGGCAGGGAAGCGGATTGGTTCTTTCGGCTCAGTTCATCTAGAGTGAATGCGTCCTACCCGGCGTTGCATGCTGGGACAAATTGTTCTCAACGGAGAGTCTTGCGTGCGTCCTTGCCAAGGCACTTGGCTGGCTATAGCCACTCAGTCTCAGCCCAACACCCCCACCGACCCGGCCAGGAAGCGGACTCCATCATGGCGACAGGAATCCAAAGCCTTCTTCAGCCACTGGATCAAATTCTTGGAGTGTTCTTGCTAACAAGCACCACAATGCATTGATGATAGTGAGAATCGCGAGCGACAGAAATGCCGAGTAGCCAAAAGCAGCATCACGAAGAAGAATGGCATCAACAAAGTTGAATGCATCTATGAAAGCATACCGTTTCGAGTTCATGCATCGAGTCATAGAGCCGTCGGACTGAGTAAGAAGTTGAGAAAACTCTCCGAGCTTTAGCAAGTTTGTCTGGCGAGTAGAGGTTGATCCAGTCCTGGCAGCTCCAAAGCTGATAAGTCTATGCGTGAGTGTACCTGCAAGGACCTTATGTGGACCTGCCTTGTCTGTGACCGTGATGCCGTTCAGGTATTATGAAGGTGACAACATGACCTGCCCGCAGCCGGGCTTCAGTTCAGCTTCTTTCAGCTCGGGTTGCCGAAGAAGCTAAAGCAAGGACTTGAGTCAGACAGTAGGATGTCTCGAAGCTTCACGAAGTACACGCGCGACAGGACATGGAGGTTTCGCAGGCCCCCTCCAAAGAAATGCGCATTCTTCCTTTGCAGTCGAAGCGAGGCATCTTCTGATCCAATCAAGCTTGTCGCCAAGGAAAGCAAATTTGACATCAGAGGAGTTTCAGAGCTTAATGTTGGAAGCATCCGAGGCCTGCGCTCCCTGGCTGGCTTAGCACACAGGACTCGCTAGGCTGTATATAGGATATGATAAGATCAGGAATGGCTCAGGTTGACCCCGAACCTTTGGCTGGAATGGGGGTGCGTTCGCACTGACTCTTTCACAGCTGTAAACCGGTCGCTCTAGATTTAGCGCCATTGATGGCCAAGGTTTTGACAAGCCAGGCATTTGGCCTGTTTGTCCGAGAGGCCGGTGGAGACCTTCCCATCGGTTCCACAGACACAGTGGAGACTGGGCTGGCTGCTCTGACAATATCGCTTCAGAAGCTCATGCTTGGTTACTTCGACCCACACCTTCCTGCACCACCCAGCCAGACATGTTACAACTATGTGCTGCAGCTGGAGGCGGCCGTGAAAGGATTCGAGTCTGTTCTGACTGACCCCGATGGAACTGTGGTTGCTGGCTCAGCAGGAGTAGCTTCGGTGTGTGACGCTGCAAAGGAATTGTCGCAAAGATATGCGGACGAGGGTGCTGCAGCTCATGCAGAGTGGGCGAGGCCAAGGGCAGAGCTCGCAAACGGGCAGCGTGTGCTGGCCGCCGGGATTTTCGCTGCTGCTGCTGCTGGTGCAACAGGATCGCTCCGCGCTGGCACGGATGGGTTCGAGCGCGTGCACAAGGTACTCCTTGAAGGAGACGGAGTCATCTCCAAGGTCATCCCAGAACGTCAAGATCTTTCCACACAGTGGAAGCAGGTGGACACTGCTTGGCAGAGCTTCAAGGCAGCGTCCCTGGGCTCGAGCATTGCAGCTATGGCTGAGGCCCTAAGCGACTTGAACAAAGAATTAGACCTGGCCGTTGTCGTGTATGGCATCCCGGATGTCCCATTACCACCAACATCCCCGGTGATTTTCGTGGTGACATACTGCAGCTTGGGCGCGCTGCTGGCCGGCTGTGGGTGTGCGGGTTGCCTGATGTTCTATCGAAATCGGCGAAAAGCCAATGAGGTTCCAACAAACGTGCCCAGCTACGCTTGATGGCTGCAGACGTGATGTTGGAGGCACAGAAATAAAGATCACTTTCCTGCCTTCCTTTTTGAAAGCTCCACGCCCCCCAAGGGTGGGTGGGGTAACAGTGGCAATTTCACATCAGAGCTCCTTGAGAAATCTCAAGTTCAGCTAGGTGCAAATTTGGCAGCAGCCTCACAAGCCAATCATTTGTGATCTGCGTCTGCAAGCAGCGGGTGTCTGCACCCAGAAGGATTCGTAGTCGAAGCTACATGCACGTGGGGTTTTCTTCCCTGTGGCATTGCGACATTGCGACACTTGCTGCAGTGGAATTGCCATGCACCTAGCAAAGTTCCATTTCAATTGTTGGTTTCTTGGGTTCCAGGGTCCTAATGGAACACCTCAGAACAGCTGAGCTGCAAGTGCAACCAGGCCTTTTTAAGAAGGCAGATTGTTCCGGGAGCACGCCGCACCCTGATGCTGGACTTTGTGTGGCTTCAACTACTCGAAGCCGTGACATCTGCCTCGCCGCAGCAAAGCGCCTGATAGAGACGTACACTTGCTCTAGTCTTCGTAGAACTTGCAGAACATGTCTTTGCTCCAGAGGTGTTGAATTGAGACACATATCCCAGGAGGCATTTTAAGGAGACGCACCACTGGCATGTCATACTTGCTCTGAACCTGCAGCAGTGGCAGCCTTGGCTCCTGAGTTCTGGTACACACACCTTGTGAAAGACAGTCATGCAACGCACACTGCCACCTTGCCCTTCAGTAAGAGTGCATTATGAAGCCAAGTTTGACGTCACGAGATCCAACAAGAAAACGTGTCAGATGATGCATGTCATCACAGGAGGCGGGTCCCTACATGAGTAGAGTACGGGCCCGTAAATATAGGCTCCTAGTAAAGGGCGGGTTCCTAGATTGTTTTCTTCATGGGAACCCCGTTTTTTCAACATTGCCATCTTTTTTTTCACCTTGTTTCTTTTTGTCAACCTTGGCCTTCTGATTTGCAACCCCGCCCTTGGCTATGCCCCTGATCTGTTCTGGTTCACCATGCATACATCTTAATTGTCACCTTCTCAACTCGCGACCCCACGGTGCGTCTTATTTTCAACCTTGGCCGTCTGCTTTTTGACCTGGCGCACGCCATTTAGTTCATCTCGGCGCGAGCTCTTCTTCTGCGGAGTTGTCATTTCTGAATTTGAAAATATTGTGTCTAGCCTCGTGGACTACCTCTTTGTCAGCAGGGTGCCTTTTCACCCAGGCCGAGAGGTCTCATTTTTGACCTCACATGTCTTTTTTTCAACTTTGTTTGTCTGAAGCTCGACCTTGGACATTTTGCAGCCACGCCTTGCCATGGAATCATTCTACAACCTCATCTCTCTTGTCCCGACACCCCGCCCACCTGTCCCCATTCCCGCCCCACAAATCTCTTATATCTCCCGTTCCCAAAGCTCGACTCCCGGCCGTGGTCTTGTTTCTAACCTTGGGGTATCTGCTCCTTAACCTTGCACACGTCTGATGTTTGACCTGGCAGTAATCTCCAATTGGAAGGGGATTCTTTTATTCCACTTTGAAAACCTTCTTTTTCACCTTGTGTGCTTCTAATTGTTCGCCTTCTTCTCTTCTAGCCCAGGCTGCGAGATCTCATTTTCGACCTGGCACATCTTTTTTCTCACCTTGTTTGTCTAGGTTTCACCTGGAGCGTCATCTCTGGATGGCGCTCGTTAATTCAAAATACATTAAACAGCTGACTTGAATTATTTGCATTGTTTAAACTGATTTAAATAGGGGGAAGCTGCCTAGGGGCTCAGGATTTGAACTCATGTTCTTTTAAATCCGCCAGGCCTACTTAACTAATTTATTGCATTTAAATCCTAAGCCTTTAGGCAGCTCAGCCCTTATTTATATTACGTTAGACAATTTAGATAATTGAAATAGTTTAAATAGTTGAAATAGCTGATTTGAATAAATCGCCG